CAGGAGGAAGAAGCCGGGACTGGTGGTGGACGCCGAGGCACCCGGCGCCAACCAGCCTCAGGATCAGAGCAACACAATGCTCGTCGAGGTGATGCAGAGCTGAACCGCGTCAAGAGGGAGCTCCGGGAGCTGAAGCGCGAGGTGAAGGCCGAGGTCGACAGGGACGCCGATGCCGGTTCGCGTCCCTCGACAGCGCGGAGCCAGAGGCCGGCGAGGGAAACGAGGAGAGTGGCATAGCAGAGCTCGCCGTGCTGCGGAGAGACAGGAGGCTCGGAGCGAGCGACCCTGACGAGAGGTTCGCCACCGCCTGCAGCTCCGACGTGGGACTCCAGTCCGCGAACACGGCGGTGGTGCCATCGACGGAGGAGACGGACCACGCCGTGAACGCTGAGTCCGCACTAAGCCACTAAGGTCGTCGCGGACGCCGTCCCGCGACTGGTGTGGATGCTGGAGGCCAAGCCCGCGCCCGAGCGCGGCGCTGCAGCGCTCCTCACTGCGTCGAGCGGGTGCCCAAAGGCGTTCCGGAAGGACGAGCGCGGCGTGGTAAACGCGGTGGCGGTTCCCTGCGTCGATGCTGCTCGCTGTGGCGTAGTCCAGGCGGTGCCAGAAGCAAATGGTGGCCGCCGGCGCGTGGTGGGGTTCCCGCAGAGCGTCACCTCGCCCAAGCGCCGTCCGAGGCCGCCAACGGAAACCACGCAGCGATGAGCTCCCTGCCCAGCGCGGTGGAGAAGAAAGACGCCAGAGGCAAGGGCGGTCATTTGACATGGGTCCGCTGACACATGAGGAGCTGGCGTGCCACGCGAGCAAACGTGGCAAATACGTATCGAATTTCTCTCCGTGCCGTTAAATCCGTATCATCATTCCTAAGAATGCTATCTCAAGAGGCGCCGTCCAGTATAATGGTAAAAAGTTAAATATCCGTGGATCACATGTTCCATACCCATACGTGCACGCGTTGATTACACCTTCTGCCAACAAGCCTGCAATGGCTACCAGAAGCAACACAACCACGCAAGCTTTCAGCACCAAGTGTTTTTGTCACATGCTCTTTTTATTCATATTCATACAAGCAAGCCAGCAAATGGCTAGCTGACTAGCTCACATTTATTCGGCTCTTCAAGACCTTTTCAGTTCAGAAAGAAATGGAGGCCCATCGTACACCTTTTTTTTTTTGTGTCAGGCTCAACTGAGCAACAAAACATCAAGATGATGGCTCCTGGCTAGTAAACTTGACGAGGTAGGAAATTATCTCCGAATTCACCCTCTCGGCCTGCTCTTGCTGGAGAAAATGGTGACCTTCAATGATAGTGACTTCAAGATCTGGAACAATGGACTTGAATGTCCCGCTCTTGATGTACTTCTCAATCCCAAAGGACTGGACACCGATGTCCTTATCACCAGCTATGAACTTCACAGGCACTGTAATCTTGGCTTCGTTCCAGGGTGCAAGAAGTCTCCAATTCCTGCAGTTACCACACCTTAATCACATATAGTGTAATAAGGCAATAATTAATAAGACAAAAATAGGAAACAAGGTAAGGAAATTACGTCTCCGCCATGCGGTAGTAGTTGAGGGGTCCAGTGAACCCAGACTTCTGAAACTTTTCAGCATACTGGCCCAGATCTTCCTCACTGATCCAAGGAAGTGGTGATGGAGATGCCTCGAGAAAGTCTATGATCTCCACTCCAGGAGGAGCACTGAGATCATCTATTTGAATGGAATAGAACTTTTTTAGGACAGTCGCAACATCATAACGAGCAAATGCGCTTTCAGCTCTTCCAGGCTCCTGCAAATATGAATCTTGAATTTTCAAACAGAGCACCAGAAACTGTAGTTGAAAGGTTTGAAGCTACTGGTGCAGACTGCAGACCAACTTGGTGTTTGAAAAAATTACTATTGAAATACCTGGACCTATTTTATTTCCTAAATAAGAAGGTGAGCTGCTGCTTCAATTTTGAGAATATAAGGTAAAACAAAGATTCAAACTGAAAATGCTAACTGAAATTTTGCAATGCCCCATTGGCTGAGCTTAGAGAAAAGCTCTCAACCATATGCAGGTCTGATACATAGCACAATCATATCTAAGCAAACACACATGCGCACGTGATCTTACGAGGGTTTGTTAAAATGTTCTGCAAAAGAAGTTTGAAGGCATCACACATCAAATATAATCATATGATCAATCAAATCACCGCACTTTGCTAAAAAACAATCTTACAAATCTCTACAGTACTGTTCAACTGGCATGGGGTAAACTGCTACTCAAATCTTCAGCTGCTTCAAATTGTATGTATTTTCTATGAACTAATGTATTAGAGCAATTCGGTTCTGCGCAATCCTGCAACGACAAAAGATTACTCCAATTTATTGATGGATGCAAAATTGGTAATGCTAGTACAAAATTAGGCAAAGTAAATAGCATGGTTGAGCCGGGCAAGAGAAGATCGGATCAGCACCTGAAACTGATTTATGTAAAGCCATCGCCAAACGCCGCGAAGGCCTCCGTGATCGGGCGAGCGTGACGAGCGAAGTACGGTACCCCCAGAACGACGGCGGCGCGCACCCGGTCCGGCCGGAACAGGCAGAGGTGCCACGCCACCTGCGCGCCCCAGTCGTGCCCCACCACGAACACCTGCATCCATCCATGGCAGATGGCGGCGCGCACAGCTCAATAGGTTCAGTCACTCACGATGGTGAGGTGAGAAACAAGAGCACGGCAGGGGAAAAAAAAGCGGCACCTTTGTGAGTTGGAGGTGGTCAAGGAGCGCGATGACGTCGCCGACGATGTGGAAGATGGAGTAGGCGGCGGGGTCGGACGGCGCGGAGGAGTCGCCGTAGCCACGGAGGTCGGGGGCCAGGGCGCGGAACCCGCGGGCTGCGAGCGCGGCCATCTGGTGGCGCCACGAGAGCCAGAGCTCCGGGAAGCCGTGGAGGAGGAGCACCGCCGGCCCATCCTCGGGGCCCCGCTCAGCGACGTGGATCGAGACGCCGTTGACGTCCGCGTTCCAGTGCCGCACCTCGCCCGCGTCCATGCTCTGCTGCTTGCTGGACTCACCGGTCGCCGGTCGCCTCTTTGTTTCCTCTGGTTGCTATGTCAGTCAGTCACATGTGCTCACTGGCCACGTTAAGAAATGGCCTAAGGTCTAAATCCTTTACCAAGCAAATAAATATAAGTTTTTAGATTATTATGTGAAATTCGTTCTTCTGCACCACGTGATATCAAATGCATAGCGGACTTGTATGGATGACATGATGGCCCTGCTGGTTCGGCTTCTTTTTTCAGCCGGAACAGTGTTTTTCTCTCACAACAATTCAGCCAGAACAGTGTTTTTCAGCCAGTTTCAGCCAAGTTTCAGACCAGCGGCCCCGTTCACTGGTCTAAAACTTGACTGAAACTAGCTAAAAACACTGTTCCGGTTAAATTGTTGCGAAAGAAAAACACTGTTCCGTCTGAAAAAAGAAACCGGCTTAAAAAAAAGCCGAACAAGCCAAATATGTCATCCATACAAGTCCGCTATGCATTTGCAAGATGGAGCTTTCTTGTTGGACAAGGTGCACGTAGACAAATTTTTTTGATATAGACAGGCAGTACTAGTAAAGTCGGCACATATGGAACTGTTGGCGCTAGCAAACAGTCTGAAGACTGACTTCAATCTCCACAGAACTGTAGCACTATTTTTCCTCTAGAAGCAATCTATGAATGAATTAGAATAATTTCATTTACGCGTTGAAAAAACGAGCAGGCCTCAACGACGGCCGCCGCCAGCCATGAATTCTGCAACCAAAACTTCCATTGGCAGCATTCTACATGACCGCAGCCGATGAATTCTGCAACCAAAACTCCCAGCCAGCCATGAATTCTGCTACCAAAACTTACATTGGCAGCATTCTACATGGGAGATCTTGGGAATAGGACACCATTGCAGCTCACTCAGCGTCAGGTTACCTATTTCACTCTGATTTCAGCACGTCCATAAGCAGAGAAAGAAAACTGGAATACCAAAGCCATGAGCACACAGATAACGGTGACTGAGTTAGAACTATCACCGTAGCAGCATCGCAGCACTAACAAATAGGAAAATCCACAAGGACTGCAGACTGATACAAAGGCACATTGAGCAAAGCAAATCATAGTTAAACCTGCATATTCCTTTTGAGCTCGTTTCTGTGATTCAGGCAGGGTACATTCTTGCTTATTCTATATTATATCATTGATGGTGATAATATATATTCTCAGACTCGACACATGTGTGCAACTCATTTACATACCACCACAAGGTAAGCTTCGTAAATCCAATAGAGGGTGCTTGTAAATAGGCCTAAATCATCTCATCTCCCTTGAAGAGATATATCACGGTAAGGAAGGCTGACAGGCGATGCCACGGAGCCCATTACACCGTGTCGCCATGGAACCACCATCTGGTCTCCTTCGAGACCTCCCGTTCATGACAGTTCCTAACATAGCGGTCATTGTCCGCTGGGCGTTGCTGCAACCAATACATTGTAGCTAGTTAGAGTCTGACTGTGGAGTGAGGGCACCGAAGTTTTAATAGATCAAGTAGTGTGACTAAGTGTCACCTTTGCTGGAGAACTAGACAACATAGACAGGATACTGATACAGACAGAGCTCACGGTCATCGCTGGTGACCATGAGTCATACAAAATATCTGCAGAAAAGAGTAGCAGCAGGAAGTTGTCAATCACAGACCATACAGTAAACTGTAGTTCATGGCCATCAAGGCTCCACCAACACTGTTTTCTCCTTTTTATTCAATATCTCAGAAAACTCATGGAACAAGGGGACAAAGGATTAATGGAAACAGAATAGAGTAAATTCTCAAAATGCAAATGTAGAGGGTCTAAATACTTCCATTTAGGCTTAGCTACAAGGGAATTATAGGCCATGGCCATCAGAGCTCCAAGGTCATTATTTTCATCACATTCACAATCTGAGAAAATTCTAACTAGCGTCGACAAGGACTTCTGAAAACAAGACCAACAGGGTTAATTCCCAAAATATGAATGCAAATATCTAATAATTGGTGCCGCTGTATGAACCAAAATCTACCAGGGGTCAACAAAGAACTGAAAACAAGACCAACAGGGTAATTGCTAAAAATGCGAATGCAAATATGTAATAGTTGGTGCCACTGCATGAACCATTTTCAGCTACATGAATTTCAGATCCATTGGCCACATCAACATGGTCTCTGGCAGACTAGATTCATCAGTATCATAAATCATGACATATATGGCAACCAATATATTTAAATCCTGGTGAAATATTATTTTGATGTCTGATGCTCAATATTATCTTAATCAAATCCCCTCCATAAGTTGTATGTTCATAAAAAACTACTCCCTCTGATCAGAAATATAAGTTCATAGTTTTAGGTTTGTCCTAAGTCAATTTCTTCTAGCTTTAACAATTAATAATAACTAAAAATGTAAAAACAACATAACGTTAATGCTACTAGATATATCATGAAAATTAATTTCATAACATATATTTTCCTATTTAAAATAAATAATTTTTACAGCAATTAATGGTCAAAGTTTCACCTTGTATACCTTGCCTATGTCCTAAAGTACTTATATTTGTGATCAGAGGGAGTATTTAAGTTTCTCACCTAGTCACTTCACTTCAGACAGGGTACTAGATTACTAGGCACAGCTTTAACAAACAACTGAACTGGAGCTTTAGAGCATTTTGCAAAGTTGCCTACGTTATCAGCAGAGCAGGTAACTAAGGAAAACTGTACAAGAGATCACTTAGCAATCACTGCATGAGAGGCACAGATTCCATTCACATCTAGGTATTGGGGTTTAGAGGTGTTATAGAGAGAGATGGCTCCAATGACAAAGCTCATAATTCTCAATTTCTACAATAGCAATGCTACCACATGACTTACATGCATGGCAAGGGAACTACTAATAAGTATGAAAGGTGGAGAAAGTACATGGCTTCATCGCATACTATTGTATTGTGGCGGCAATTAGGGCACGAGAGGGAAAACAGTTATCTAAAGCCATTATGGAGGAGAACTGATATTCAAGATTGTAATTACAATTACCAACAGCTATAGTTAAGATTTAGTAGCTACAATCTTTTTTTTTTTTGAAGAATCTGGTAGTAGCTACAATCTGTATAAGAAATGAGACAGTAGATGACACATTTAGCACAGAAACAAATGAATGAGAATCTCCTACCAACAAATAAACAAGTCCATCGATGAGCCACTCCTCTATCTGATCTCACATGCAGCCTAGTCACTTTGCATGTGATGGTTTGAAATAGTATATGCATATAAGATATCTTGTTCCCTTTGACTTGCTATTATTTGAAATAATATATATTTAGAGCAAGAAGCCAAGGACACAACCCATGTGGATACATTATAGTTAAATGTGAAGAATAATGCCAAAAACAACCTTTTCACAAAGCTACTTGACAGGTTTTATATGAACAATTGTTGATTTATTCCCCAATGTACTCATCTGCTTTCATAGAATGTAAGTAATGATGAAACCCGAAGAACAAGCATTCAAGCCGTAGAATAGTTAGAAGCAAATTAAAGAAGTGTTCTGCCATTAATTGTCAAACTATATCTTCACATTAACATGTTAGTCTGTCACCAACTTTCCAATAGATTAATTTGCTGAAGACATCTGCAAGTGCCAACCAACCTAACATGCTTCCCTGCCTAACACATTATTCCCTGCTATATTCTTCCTATATCGGCACGATAAGATAGGCATTCATATCCAGGCTCATAACTCATAGACATAACTGGATGCTCAAATGATTTTTTTTAAAAGGTACCGACAATTCTAACTTTACTTTTTCTTCATGTTTAGAACTCTTCACCGCCATCAAGGAATATGACAAAAAACCATTTGGCGGAAAATAAAAAGGCTGTTTTTATTATGCACACTTGCATAGTACTATAGCACTGTCCAGCAGATAGGATGGAATATCTTCTCCAATAAATAACCAAGAAAAGGGAATAAAAAAGGAGGTTTAGCAATGAGTTTCTTATAATACACAATTGTCACAACTCACAAATCTAACAAACAACAATGCGTGAAGTCATAAACAGGAGTAGCATCTAGACAGCTCAAGTAATCAATTTTAGAGGCAAGAAAGATCACAAGGTCGTTAAAGAAGAAAAGAAGTTATAACATGATGCAAGGATAAATACAAAACAAGACTTTAAGCCACTATTGTGCTAATGACTAGCTGGTACAGATGCATTGGCGGTACCCTTTAATATGAGCAAGATAAAGGGACAACCAGAAAAGCCACCAGCATCCAGGCATTAAGATAACTTTAGAAGGCCAAATACAAAACTCCTGCACATAGCAATTTCACACGATATGGCAATCCAATCAAGGGCATCTCAGTCATGAACCTATTATATAGCACTATAAAAGCACAATTGGTTAAGTTGGCAACTTTCTTCTAACAAATAGAATCTTAGCACCTAACTGACAACTAGACAAACATTATTAGGTCAGGCAAAGAACATTCCCATTGGGCTGCAGCCATGAAGATAATGAAAAGCATCATTAAACATGGAGTCACACCCAAATGTTCTCCATCAGACAAGACGCCTAGGGAGCAGTTTTACCTAAGCAGATGTGCCCGTTGCTGTAAATGTGTGGATGCATTGGCGCTGGATTGAGAAAAATGACCTGGAAGCAAAAGATGAGAATATTTATGTATCATCCAATCCAATCAAATGAAACGGAAGGAACAGGGGGAATGAGAAGACATATACTATGTATCATCCAATCAAATGAAATGGAAGGAACAGGGAAATGAGAAGACATATACTAATTGACTAAAAGGTGTGATTTTGTCGAGAAAACCAGACCTGAGGTGCCTCCATAGGGTAATGCTCAGGAAAGTCAACCTGCAACTGGTAGGTCTCGCCGGCGTAAAGAGTGCCCGCGGCTCCGGTGACCTCAATTACCCACCTGTTCAGTTATCCAGAGAGAATTATCCTATCAGTCAGGTAGTCCAAATCCA